CCCCGCGTTGGGCTCTGTGCTGACTGCCAGCTCAGAGCCTGGAGCCTGTTTCAGTCTGTGACTCCCTCTCTCTGACCCTCCCCTGCTCACACTGTCTCTCTCTCTCCTAGAAATAAATAGAACATCTAAAAAAAATAAATAAAATAAATTTAAAAAAAAATAAAAACATTTATTCGTTTTTGAGAGAGAGACAGAGCGCAAGGAGGGAGGGGCAGAGAGAGACACACATAGAATCCGAAGCAGGCTCCAGGCTCTGAGCTGTCAGCACAGAGCGTGATGAGGGGCTTGAGCCCATGAACTATGAGATCGTGACCTGAGCCGACATCGGACACTTAACCAACTGAGCCACCCAAGGCGCCCCTAAGGGACTAATACTGAAAACACTGGGTATCATAGGCCGACATATTGAAATCCAAACTCTACATCATGACACAGAGGAGCTCCGGCCCCGCACCCACACACACCTGCACGCTCGCACACCTGCACACTCACACACCTGCACGCTCACACACATGCATGCTCACACACCTCCACACACGCACACATGCACACATGCACGCTAACACACATGCACGCTCACATACCTGCACACATGCACACTTGCATGCTCGCACACATGCACACACGCACACATGCACACACGCACACCTGCACGCCCCCACGGTGCCCCAGCACCTTGCTTGACGGCGTTCCCTCCTCCTGTCCCTGTGCACCCAGACATACTCATAATAGCAGCGCTTCGCTTATGTGCCAAGCAACGGGCGCAGCCGCGACAACTGTATACACCAAAGCTTGTCTCCCGGACCAGGTAGCAGCAGAGGAAACAGACTGAGACGTCCTGCCCGCAGGGCCCGCGGCTCTGTCTAGGTGACTGGCACATGTTAGGGAGGGGCGAGAGTCTGGAGGGCACCTAGCAGAGACTCTGCTCGTGAAGTCTTGGTATCAAGGCCAGTGTTGTAAGGACGGCTTTCTCACTGCAGGACTTCACTCTGGGTCAGCGCACCGCCTAAGACCACGCAGGCCCCGGGGGAGGGCAGAGGGTCAGACAGTCACAGGCTCCGGGGGAACAGGGTGAGGCCGAGCTGGCGGACACTGGCCAGACAGGGGTCTGCCTCCGGCTCGGGAAACACCCTCGGGGTGCGCTGACTCGGGTGGCCTTCTCATCGGGCTCTGACTGTGGGTGCGGGAAGGGGATGGCCAGGGGGGAGGGCACGGGCAAGGTGTGACCAGCGGGGGCACGCGGGGCGGGGGGGGAGGGGGTGGCCAGCGGAGAGGGGAGGGGGG